AGCTTCTTGATGATAACGAGCATCTTCTCAGTATCAGGATTGTTGGTGGGGATCACAGGCTAAGGGTACAGAGTTTCTTCTTTTGATAATCTAAGCGCTTCTCTTCTTTGGATTACTCTATCATGTTCTTTGGCCTACCTTGTTTGATGTTCTTTCAGTTTTATAGAACAAAACGAAAGTCATGAACTTAAAGTGAATTACTGGTTTACCCAAATTTAATTTTTTAATTATACAATTACTTCTTTTCACTTTGCTATCTAGTATTCAAGACCTTTACTAGTTGTTTTTAATTATACAATTAATTCTTTTCACTTCATGACCTTTACTAGTTGTTCTTATTGGTGAGGATATTTATACTCGTCAAATCAGGCTTTTAAGGTTTGAAATGCTCTGGATTCATAATTACTTTGTTGCTACCTTTGCACCGAAAAAAGACTCACATTTAACTTGCCTAATTTACAATGTAGCCCAAAGCTCAGTTCTTTCTGTTCTGGCTCAGTAGTATGGAGACTGGTTTTACCTTTTCGACTTGTGATATTTGATTAAGCATCATAGATCACAGTTCAAACCTTTTTGACTATATCTTTTCCTCCCAACAGAACTATTCTTCGATAATTTCACTACATCCAGAGATCATTGATGGAAGGCCTGGAACTCTGGTGATTGAATCGTTTGTGGTGGATGTGCCTGAAGGGAATACCAAGGATGAGACGTGCTACTTTGTTGAAGCTTTGATCAAGTGCAACCTCAAATCACTTGCTGATATCTCAGAGCGGCTTGCGGTGCAAGATCGTACTGAGCCCATTGACCGGATGTGAAAAGTGGATTTCATTTGGTTTAGGTGGAGGGCTTGGATTGCCGTGGATGAAGCTTCCGGGGCTTTCGTATCTCGGAGGCTATGGAGTCAGACTGGCAGTAAAAACTACTTCCATCTTCGTGATATAATTTGCTCTTTTTCTTTCATTCCCGTTTTTATGTTATCTGTCTTCGCTTTAAAAACTATGTGCTGGATTGTCCTCATTTTTAGTAGCTCAAGAACCACAGCTGTTATAAAATTCTCTTTCTAAGAATGAAAAAAAAAAATGGGAAAAAAAGAAAGAAAAAATAGGTTCTCCTATTCTGTCGTTTCCAAGTTTTGTCCCTGGTGGTATCTCCTATTGTCTGTGTATATACATATATATATATGTTATATATATAGATATAAAATATGCTGGGAATAGTTCATTTTTGTGTAAATTTTGCACCTTGTATTGTAGTCCCGAGGTTCCTGTGGCAGACATTTGGTTGCAGTGAAACTGTAGGGTAGCTTTACATTTCAAGTCACTTTGTAATTACTATGTTCGGTACTAAACTAATTTTATCTTTGTTTTAATTATATCTATTCCCCCGTCCGTCCATCTACCGTATCTCGAAGAGGCTCGTGGGAAAAAAGGTTGAAGAAAATGACACTATTCTATTACGTTATTATTATATTCCCACCGATAGTTTCATTTCCAGTTATCTTTTTTTTCTCTTTTGTCCCAAGTAGGAATTGGAAATTTAACTTTGAGAAACTGCAGGCAGGAGTAGAGATGGTGAATTGAATAAAGTAGGTCTTTTAGAGCCATGCACGGAACAGACGTTTTGATTTCTGGGCTCTAGAGCTGCTTCCCTACGCATTTAAGGTCTGTCGGTGGCTATTTTACGATGTAAGTGCAGTAATTTTAAGACGACGTAAATCCAGAGAACAAACAAATCTATCTGACTGTGAAGGACAAGAATTTTCGTCTTAAAATATAAAGGGTATCTCCATCCTCAATTAATATTTCTCTATTTGTTATGCGGCTGCTATTTTAAGAATGGGAATATTTTGGCATATTCGTAACGAACATATATATATATATATATGTATATGTATGTATATTTAAAAAAAAAAAAAAAACTTATCCCTCATTTAGTTCGGTACTGGTGATATACTATAATATACTATATCGCATATATCATGTATTAGGTAAGAGTAGTTTTGAGTTAGAAGAAACTGGTTGTTTACCTCTTTAAAGAATAAACTTAATTTTTAGTTGCTGAATAACCCAAAATAGGAAAGCAAGGACTGTATTCGTCCCCAGATACTGATCAGGTAGGGTATTATAAATAGATCTGAGACATTAATTTGAAAATTGAAAATACATAAATAAATTAGAGTTTTCTGTTGTTGAGTAACCCAAAAAAAGAAAAAAAAAAACAGAGACTGTATTTAAAGGTTGATGCTGATGTAGTAAGATAATATATATATATATATATAAAATATATATAGATTTGAGACCAATTAATTTGAAAATTATGAATAAAAATATAAACTTAATTATTCGGTGCTGAAAAGCAGAGACTCCATTCAAGATTTGATAATGATATGATAGGATATTACAAATAGACCCGAGACCGACCAGTTTGAAAATAGCAAGGTTGGTGAAGCATTAATGAGCTTCTACTGATTTCTAACTAAAATTAGAAACGTATGGTTGAGACAATACTAACCATCTTCTCAAAGTCAATTCAATAACAGAGCATAAGCAAGCACCATTACTACCAGAACTTTAAATAATCTCAACTACAAACTATGTCCAATAAATAGCACAATTCAAAATTTCACCCAAAGGAGGGTATATAAAAAGGTGTAATATAATACAACACACTACTGCTACAAAATAATGCATTGTGTTACAAATCATACATGATTCTTTTCGTTATACTCTGTTAGAACGGAGCAGTCTGCAGTCGCTGCTTCGGAGATATCGCTCGGAGGAAAAAAAAAAAAAACATTTGACGCCTCGAAAGCGTATAATTAAATTAACTGCCCTTTTTAAACTTTCTAACATTTAGTAGTATTCAATAACTTTTTTTAGTACCATTACCACAAAGTTATTGAATTACCAAAAAAATGTTAAAAAGATTAAATGGCAAGGTGCTTCCAAGACGCCAGAGAAGAACTCAGTGCTCGGAATCTGGAAGTGACTGTCTTGTGACATTCACTTGAAAACAGTGAAAAGAATAGCGTACGGGAGAGGCTTAAATATTCTGTACAGAGCACGGGTCCTGCAGCTGAGTAGGTCACAGAAGAGAGCTACATGTTATCTTTTTGGTTTTATGCCAAGACAAGGTCTCCTTGTTCTTGTTGCATTTCTTGCCCTTCTCGTTGCTCAAATTGAGATAATTGTCCTTCTCGGTATGGAAGAAGGATTCGTTTTATATCTTCTGCGCTGAGTGTTTCATACTCCAAAAGTGCACTGGCTAGTGCATGTAAAGCCTTCTCGTGCTGGAAAAATGTTGAAAGAAATTGTTGGTGAACTTCTGGAATATAAAAATATCTATAATATGATTGGACAAGAGTAGGAAAGAAGCCCACAGAATACATTTAAAAAAAATATATATATATTCACGTATAGAAATGCAAAATCTGATCTAACGAGACACTCCGGACAAACCTTCTTCAACAAAGCCTTTACACGATCATATGCTTCTCTTAAGAGTTTTACTACCTGGACAGTCAGTAGTAAAAGGTCAAAATTTAATTACTACTGTTGAATCATAAAAAAATTATGACTTTTTTAACGTACCTCGGCATCAATACGTGATTGCATTTCTGAACTAGGCCGCTCTTTGATGTGAACCGGTCCAATTGCATCACTCATCCCACAATTTGACACCTTGCATTATCAACATGATCATAGCATTAAGCAATTAAACTAAACAGAGGCCCAGCTGCCTCTAAGTTTTTCAGATGACTTGATATTTCCAAAACCCTTAAGCTTTCTAAACCCCCATTGTTTTTTTTTACTACTTACTCTATCTCTGAAAAGACTGCACTAGCAAGTCAAGAAGTAGAGACAGGATAGATAATAAATGCTCATGATTCCCATGACTAAAACAATAACCTTCGAAAAAACACTACGCCGGGAATAACAAGCAAAATAATTTGGCAAAAGAAAAACAAACATTAATGAAAAGAACAAGAAAACTGCAGAGCATTTTTGCTAGAAGAATGGAGGAGCTGAAGTCCTCAGTTTCTTGCGAATAATACCATATATTGAGCAAGCTCTGTGGCTGTGTTGAGATCGCCGCTTGCTCCAGTGGTAATTTGATCATTCCCAAATATGAGCTCTTCTGCAACTCTTCCTCCCATACAAACATCAAGACGGGCTAATAACTGTTTCTTGCTAATTGATGTCTCATCACTTGATGGGAGCTGAGTAACCATTCCTAGGGCAGATCCACGGGGCATAATTGTTGCCTTATGAATTGGATGTGCACCTTCAGTATTGAAAGCAACAATAGCATGACCACTCTCATGATATGCAGTGAGCTGAAATAATGTGCAGAAATGTCAGCAAATAGCAATCCATTGCAAACAATTTATTGATGGTGAACTCTTCACCTTGGAGAAGCAAAGATATAAATACATGCTGCATAGTAAAGCAGGAATGGTGTGTGTTAGCTCTATTAACATCCTACCTACAGAGTTAATACATACATCATTGATGTTAGTTATCACGGGTCAAAATATAAGCCATTCGTGGAGCTTTTCCTGAATAATTCTATGCTTTGAGCAAGTAGGAATTGTTTTCTACCAAATTATTGCTCATTGTACAGATTTACAAGGATGGGAATCAGATAAGTCCAGATTTACTATCACCAGACTTCCCCTACAACTCCAAAAATCCCAAATTACAAAACAAAGAAAGTAGAGATGCTGTCAAACTGAACGGGATGAAGGTTAATAAATTGACATGATATAACCCAGAAGAGTTAAGATTATACAGATTGCATAATCTGATTTGCATATACCTTCTTTGATTCCTCTGATATGAACATTGTTTTTCGCTCAGTTCCCATAATTATTCTGTCCTTGGCAAATTCCAACTGTGTAGCAGTTATCTTCTCTGCACCTTCCACAGCTGCTTTTATGGCAGCAATGTTTACCAAGTTCGAGAGATCTGATTGGGGACAGTTGTGAGTAGAGAAGAAAAGTTATAAGTACAATGGATCAACACAAATAAATTTACAGGAAAAAAATGAATCTCTGAGATTAAGAGATGGCCATTTCAGCAGAAGCTCACCAGCACCATTGAATCCTGGAGTTCCGCGGGCAATAGCTTTAACATCCACATCATCAGCCAAAGGTTTATCTTGTAGATAAAGTTCCAAAATCTCTTGACGACCTCGCACATCTGGATTAGGAACAACAATCTAAATATAGTTGTGTCAGTACTCTCTCCAACAGCATGAAAAATGGATCCAAGTACTGGATTGACAAAGATATTTTTTTGCGAAGAATCTAACTTCCTTGCATGAATTTGCAGCTGGAGCAACTAAATGAAAAATGTACTTTAAACTGGGCAGCTGACAACTCCAATTGGCAAATTATAAAATAAAGAATTACTAGAATAGATCAAGTTTTCAACACAATTGCAATTTTCATCACATGCAGAAACCAAAAACCTTCAGCAGCAGCATCTACATTTTCTCCATTAGACTGCTAAGGAAATGTGACGAACATAAAAGAACCAGAGACTACAGGGTTATTGAAGGACTTAATACTTACATGCCTATCAAATCTACCAGGTCTTGTCAAAGCTGGATCAAGAATATCAGGCAAATTTGTTGCTGCCATCAATATTATTCCCTGTGGAAAAGGGTTAAAGATATTAAGAACCGTGGACAAAGGAATTGCTAACATTTAGATCATATACTACATACCTCATTTTGTTCAAAACCATCCATTTCAACGAGTAGTTGATGCAATGTTTTCTTTGTATGTCCTTCCCATTGCTTTCTTGTGGATCCAACAGCATCTATTTCATCAATGAAAATGATACAAGGAGCCTGTAAAATAGGAAGCAATCACCCATAGGGTTGTGCGAGTGTAGAGAGGCCCATGACATAGGGCATATTCCCAACGACTTAGTACACTTAGAATTTCAAGTCAGGGAGGAAATCCCATTCTAAGTTACTGTTGACAATTTCAATGATGCCAAGAACAAACCTTCTTCTTAGCTGCTTGGAATAATGATCTCACACGCCGGGCACCAACTCCAACAAACCTACCATACAACAGAAACTTGACTCAGCATCTGCAACATCTGAAAGATAGAATCAGAAATTCCCAGATCTAAATGATACTGTTATTAAACATTATCATGTCACTCTAAGCAGAGCAGCTGCGAGAAATGCTGGAGCAAAGATGGCTTACATTTCCTCAAATTCAGATCCAGCCCTATAGAAGAAAGGTACCCCTGCTTCTCCAGCAATTGCCTTCAAAGTGCAGACCATATAAAACCATCATTCAAATAAATTATATGAAAAATTTAGTTGCTGGAAATGTGAAAATGCCACCAATGTCAAAGAAAGTTAATTGCCAACCCAGTTCATTAATTCCTAGGCACATCCACATAATATATAATAGATAGCAGGGATATTAGTTCAATGCTCAAGCCAATATGCAAGCATGTTTGAACTTCAAGAGGCAATGCAAGAACTTAACAATTTCATTTTACCTTTGCAAGCAGAGTCTTTCCTGTCCCAGGTGCCCCAGTCAGAAGAATTCCCTGCAAATGTACTAATGAATTAGGTCATATACAAGGAATAAAACCACTAGAGATAAATGAAATATCACATAAATATTATTAAAACAGAATTAATGTAAGAAGAGAATGATAATTAGTCTCACTTAGAAGCATGTAATAAGCCATAACATGATTGTACTTTTATCCCAAAAAAGAGAAAAAACAGGCATTTCAGTGATACATATTCTCACTAACATGCATAACCACATGTTAAAATAAATATATTGCAGGAGTTATAAAATCAAAAGACCCTCTATTTGCATTCTGTATACAAAATTAGGGATCTTGAAAACTTAAATCTTCTCTCCCAAATACAGTGCAGCTGAGGTCAGGTGAAGATCAGGATTCAGAAATGAACTTATTGTAGTAACAATAACCTGAGCCAAAATATCAAAATATTTTCTACAAACCTTTGGTAACTTGCCACCAAGACGAGTAAATTTAGCTGGGTTTTTGAGGTATTCGACTACTTCCTCCAGTTCTTGTTTTGCATCATCACAACCTTTTACATCCTTAAATGTTTTAACATTCTGCAAGCAAATCCATTGTCAGTACACCATGCCCAGTCTATGATAGATTGCCATGTAGTACATAAATGGTCAGCACTTTAGAAAAAGTAAACAACCACAGATAACCTGCAAAGTCAATAACGAACTTGGACATTATCAATACAGAAACAAAATAAACCTGCTACTAGATAATAGATTGTTATCAATGACTGCACAATCTCCCTTCACCAGACTATTCCACTTTACTTCCAGACATCAGACATAATTTTTAGCATTTTGAACAATTTCAAACACAATAGTTCCAATGCGTTTTTTTACACAACAAATGATATTGAACTTGGAACATTATCATATAAAAACAAATTGAATCTGTCACTAGATAATAGAATGTGATCAACCGTTGGATAATACCCCTTTCAACACTCTGTCTCATTTTACTTCCATTACTTCATATAAAATTTTTAGCATTTTAAACAACTTCAAGTACAATATTTCCAACAAGTTTTTTCTTATACAACAAAATTAACCTTCTAACTGCCAAAAACAACTAATACTTCAAGTACATAATATTAAGTATCTACCTTCTCTGGCATGACCTCTTTATTCAGCTCTTTTGGGGCATAAGAAGAACTTGAGCCAACACCTGAAGCTCCAATTCCACCCAGGCTACCTATATACTTCTGGAGCGCAGCTGCACCCATTAACCTGAAAAAGTGCTTCCAGATTAAACTAGAGTAACAATAGGGAAGACACGATAATTTGGGCATGTAAATGACAAGTCCCAACCCTCAGTAAAAAGCTCCAATTGGAAAACTCTTTTAGGTTTTAATAAAATCCTTACCATACTAAGCCAACAGCAACAGTGAATAAGATAGTTGAAATAAGCTCTTGTGCAAACCGTGATTTGTTTGAAACCTTAGGGTCAACCTAACAGGGGGAAGAACACATAATCAATACTACAATGGTATTACCTGGAAATAAAAGGTTTATATTGGTAGACAAAAGGTGTAACCCAATAATAATAATGAGATATCAAGTAGGCTGTCCCCAAGTCAAGGGCACCAAGTCAAGACTTTTATGGATCCTTACCATCACAACATGCAATGGTTGTTTCTCAGATGTGCCAGGGCTCAAAACTGGTTCATCACTGTTCTCTGAGGCTCGCTGCTTTAGTTCTTGCAGCTAAATTAAAAATTGAGAAATGATGAATTGAAATGTAGCAAATGATGAATTGAATGGATGAAACAAATAAATGCCATACACGTGTGTCGCATAAACAGAGAAAGGACCATGCCCAATTACCAATGTGGGAAGACTCGAGGGTTTTCCAGATTGTTCATCTGGTAGATAGTCAGCAATAGCATTGGTGATGACAAGAGCCCGAAGATATTCTGCAACTCCTCGACTGTCTACTGCATAGTATCTTTGTTCGAAACGCTTGATTACGGACTCAGGACTGAATGAAGAAGATTAAAAGAAAAGAACAAGCACTATTAAACACCATATCGATATTACTGCACAGCTTGCCCGTATAAACATCAATTGCACAACACAACTTATAATATGAAAGACCATCCATCTTCAAGCAACCTCTGAAAGAGACATTCTTTTAATATCTTATATGCGACTAAACTTTCAGATTATCCAACTAATACCATAAAAATAAAAAGAAAAAAATTTCTTAAAAAGGAATAGAACTTCCCGTTTGCCTTTCTACAGTTCGGCAACCAAAGATAGAATAATGGCAATCAACCAAACATGAAATTTCAATGCCACACCTGTGCTTATTGAGCTCAGCCAATAAAGCGCTCTGTACAGCTGCATCATTGGGATTTGCATCTGCCACCTCAATGAGCCGTTCGAGCCGCGTCTCCCGCCGCCAAAACGGCCACCAGCTAAACCATTTCAATGCCATCAACTTCTCTATCCCTTTCGTCGCAGTCGCCCACAGTCCCATCAGAAACACCACCAGTGGAATTTTGCTTTTCAGCCCCTCTTTCTCCGCCGATTCTCCATTGGCCCCTTTACTCTCTCCAGAATCCCGCCCTTCGTCCCCACACTGCGCAACCCCATTCTCCAACTCGACTCCATCGATTCTCGACTCTTCAAAACCAGAAACCGCACCCTTCTCCGAACCTTCCCCGCGAGAATCACCGAATTCGGATTGTTTGACGTCGTCATCCACGACTGCACCCTCTCTTGTCAACTCGGAATCGGAATTAACATTCTCGGGATGCAATGTGCAAGCAACGGATAAACACGCGGAGCGTAATCTGGAACAGAGAAACCCTGAAATAACTAAGGAAGATTTAGAGAGAGAAAGAGGATTGAACGATAGAGAAGCAGCGTTGCAGCGACGTAGTTGGCGGTAGCGTGGAGAGGTGAGATAGACGTGCTGATTCGAAGGAGATGGATAGAAGGAGAGTGAAGGCTTGCAGAGAAGTGAAGCTTGAAGAGTACAAGTCATTGTTTAGGGTTTATCAGTTCTCTTCCTTGCAATACTCGTCTCTCTCCCTTCGTTGAGCTCTCTGCGTGGAGTGAGTAACAGAGAGCCACAAGATTGGGATTAGAGGGAGAAACGAAGTTCTTAAAACCTTATCTCTGACTGAAATTGGCGCCGGCTTGTAAACTATTGACTTGCGACATCAGTTAGGTGCTTTATTTTTATTTTTATTATTATTATTATTTTTCGCTGAGTCGATTCGGTGAGTTTTGACGGTTTAGTAACTTTAAAACTGACCGAGTTGGGAAGTTCAGAAGAACAAAAACATCCGACGACGTTTTGAATTATTGTTCAGACAATTTCTGCATTTTATGCTTTTGTAAAATAGAAAATAACTGTAATAATCGGATACCCTTTTAATAGTTTTAATAATATTATTCCATCAAAATTATATATATATATATATATAATGAAGATTAGCTTAATCCTTTTTCAAACTTCAAAACATTATAGAATAGTATTACTGATAACTCTTCAATTAATAAAAAAAATCCATTTCTTCGATACAGGTTTTTTATTTCACATCGGAAAAAACTTGTTTCATCAAACTAGTCAATGAAGAACCTGCAGACAACCGAGTTCGGTTCGACCATGCCAATGCATTGAAAGGATTTAGTCTCAGTAAAAAAAAAAAACCGAGGTACTCGGAAAAATTCTAATCTGAAAATATTCTTCTTCACCACCCTAGAAATTGGAGGAAGAAGATATTTCCAAATCTCCCACCTGAAAAAGACATAAATAAGCAATCATGGATAAAATTAGATTAAGGATTGATGTCAGAGTTCTTTGTTGTTCGAAACAAAGAGTCAAAATGGTTCTTCCACCAATACGAGTACAAATGAGGCAAAAGATTTCTCCATTTGTTGTTTTAAAGACAGAAATTCCACAATCCAACATTCAGCTAAATAAATAAAAGCATCTCAATAGTTTCACTAGTACTATCAGCCATCAGGGTTGAAGATTTTGACCTTAGCAGGAAGGCCATGCTACTGTGTACACAACCTCGCCCCAAAATTGGACAATAAAAAGTTTTGAGGTTTTGCGTTGGATGATCTTTTCAGAAGTTTTTCGCACGGGCAAGGAAAATCCTTCTCCAAATCCTATCGTGCAGTTTCCTAGAAGATTGCCATCAATCTTGCAAATTCAGAAGATGTTATTGCATCCGGCCAGGACCATAGGGAGGAACAGGCCCTCCTTGTGGCATGCCACCGTGGCTGGGCATCTGCATCATTCCAGGGCCTGTAGGTGGCATGGTCCCAGGAGGCACATACCGAGGATTATTCATCTGCATTGGCATGGAGTGAGGTGCGAGTGGAACAGGAGCAGCCCATCCACCAGAGGGCTGGGGCATACCAGGCTGTTCTGCACTTGTAGCAAATGGAACCCCATTGTATTGATGAGCAGCAGGAGCCAGCATCTGACCAGGCTGTTGCCCCAATATTGAAGGTTGAGGATTTACTAGGGCTGTGTTAGGGATTGTATAATCTCTGCTGCGGTCATTATTCACCTGTAATCAGCACATTTTTTATTGAGGTTCGACTGTAAGGCTCTTTCCATTTCTCGATAAACTTTAAGGTACAAAAATGTCATAATAGCATGTGAAATTTATGACAAAGGAAGCATCATGAGTGACAAACAAATGCATTAAGAAAAATGGATCAATCAAAAGGGAAGTAAATTAATCGTGAATAATTAAACCATATCATCAGCAAATGAAACGAATAGTTTATCTGAAGACAAGCTTATGTAGATGGATCTTTGTATTAATCCTTTTTCCACTTTTCTCTTACCAACAACTTCAATAAGTATATAAAATTCAGAAGTACTTATTTCAACTACCTTTATACTAAGATCGGTGTGTCGTGAATATGAGATATGAAGCTTGCAGAATCCTCCATCATAGATGCAATGCCCTTCCAATGCTTCCTTGGCAACAACAGCAGTTTGCACGTCTACAAGGCAATGTGAAAATTAGAACTTAAAACAACATTTACAGAAAATAATAAACCAACAGTACGAATTGCCAGCTCTACTTCTTCACTGTTTCTTTCTCTTTGCACTGTTTTGAAAAGAAAGAACAGGATGAAAAATAGAAAGATCAGGCAACACACTCAAGACAATGATTGTACAACATAACATGTTTGACATTTATCATGGGATCTGCTAAGCAGATCAACTAGGTGCCTCCAGTAGAGCTCAGGCTACCCTAGTAACTTGATAACCTACCAAACAGCCATCACTCACAATCTAGATTTTTTAGAAAGGTTTTAGAAAAGAATATATGACTTTTTCTCATATCAAAAAGCAAGTAAGGTTTTTGCCTACCAAGGTATTGAATCAAAGCCTGCACTCCACCATTCTTGTCAAACATGGCAATCTTCTGTACAGGCCCAAAAGCAGAGAAAACCTGTTCATGGTGGGGAAAAAAAAGAAAAGATTGATAAGGGAACACATAACAATGTTAACAGCTGAAAAAAGAAGGATCTTGAATACCATGTGTAAAACATCCAAGGTGACTGCATATTGCATGTTCTCAATTGATGCAAGAAGAACATTACTCTCAGGCTCTAGCTTTTTTCCATCAAGACCCACTGCAATCTGCAATTAAGAGAAAAAACACAGTTACAGAACTTGCATGATATTAAACAGTCAGATAATAGACAGAATAAGCAAACTATCATCACCATACACGAAATTATACTCATAAGGGAAATTATTAAAACATGCGACTAGACAAAACCGATGAAAGAACAATTGTAAGCATATTACCTGACCACTGCCATCAATAGCTGATGGAGCCACAGGAAGGTACGGATTAGTATAGTCCCTGAGATAGTACAAAACAAGAGTCATTAACAAACAAAAACAGACAAAAGGAGGTATCCAGCGAATCACAGAGGATAAGGGAACGATTGACAGGATGTGTAGCAAGAAAACAACTACATAATGTGAAATCAAAGAAGCAAATTTATGAACTTACCAAATTAGCAGTAAGATACAAATCGAAAAACACAAAAAAATACCTGCTCCGATGGCTCTGGAACTTTACACTCAAGTCAGTGTGAGCAGAGTAAGTGATCCTAAGGGTACAGGGTCCCATATGCTCAGGAAGCAAATACCTGATGCCCGATAGAAAAACAAGTCAATACAATAAAAGCTGCTCAACAGACTTGATGAAACAGGCAGAATAGCTATTTATGTTAGCAGGTCCTATGTGAAGAAATTAATTTCCAACTTCACACCAAAACAAAGGAGTGGACCCATCACCTAAAGAGACTCTCCGATAATTAAAAAAAAGCCAAATATTCATTGTACTTCAAACTTTTAAGGACTAAATTAATGGAGAACAATTGACCTTAGAAAATTAACAGCCGTTTAAAAGTTTAGGTTGGACAACAAGTAACAGTCAGGTGCCCACTTCCAAGTGCATGTGCACCAAATCTATAGATATATGGTCCATAACAGTTGGACTAAATACCGTGTCAAAAAATTAATACAACTGTCACCTAGGGATGCTTCTTCCATCCAGAGCATTTTTTGCAGATGAAGCAGTTTCGGCATCAGAAAATTGCACCAGCGCCTAGGAAGAGCATACGCATGAAATCAGCTAGTTTGCAAATGTTAACTCGAGCAACAATTTAATGGATAAGCATATCAAAACAAAATACCTGGAATCCAGCTGTCTTCTCAAAGGTAGTAATTTTATGGACAAATCCAAAAGCTGAAAACACCTGCATCACCACACAACTTTCAGAAAATAGTTTGGATGCAGAATCTATATCCAAAAAGTGCAAAAATTCAATAAAAAATCAAACATATTTTGCAGACAGATAGAAGAACTAAATTCCTTCATTCACCAACAAAGCTAGACGTACGAACCTGATCGACTTTGCATCTTGAGAGGATTTTAGCATTTATTTATTCATTTAGAAATAGAAATTTTAGCATTTATTACCATTCTCCAAGTGTATCTTTCAATTTTCATAGGCATTATTATGCACACTTAAGAATTACATCTAACTAGCATGGTTTTATAAATGCAGAGAACAAAAAGTAGTAACTGATGAAACAAAAAAGGTATCCAGCGGGCATATTTCATTTTGGTTCCAGTTTACATAAGATGAACAACCCAGTCAACTATTTTACAAACTTACAGTTATAAAATGGAAACTAACCTCCATAAATTTGTGGAAAATTACCAAATGCTCATAATCGTTAAGACATTAATGAATCAGCACACGAAGTTACAATTATTGATCCAAAGTTACCAAATATATACACATCTATTCTAGCTCTTAGAATTAGCAAAACTTCCAGAACTCAGAAAACCTTGCATTATAATATGGTTTCATTCGCCTATAATTTGAGTAAAAAGTTTATTTCGCAAAGAGCAGCTAAGATAATAAAAAAAGTTACAAAAACAGACCCATACTTTAGTGCCCACAAATTCCAACTCAAGAAATGCATCTTGAGAAAAAAACAGCATGAATATAAAAGCACAGCATCACTCATGCAAAAACCCTAGGGACACACTTAAAAAGTCCTATTCTATAAAAATCATAGGAGTAGGGAATAAGAAGGAAGAGTAGGGAAGAAAGAGGCAGTGTTAAGGGAAGGAGAAAGGAGACAAACACACAAGCGCTCTTTCTCCCGATGCATTAAGCTGCCATCGAAGATATTGCCTTGACATGGGCCTGCTGATTCATTTACATTCGTGTCAAATAAAAGATTTCCAAAGCACGACAATCTACAACCTAAGTTACAGAAAATCATCCACAACATCCTCAGGTAGTACATTTACCTCTTCTAACCAAAACCAGAAAGCGTGCAACGAGCTTACCAGGTGTAAGACATCAATGCTGACTAGGCGAGCATCCTGACCCTCAATTGTCACCAACAGAACATTGCCAGCAACATCTGCAGTTGTTTTGTTGTTTACTATTTCTTGCCTGTTGGAATATTGGAGGTAAACAGTTTTACCCCGTACTTGAGCAGGTTCTGAAGATGAAGCATAGTAGGAAATCATAGCTATAGCTTGATTCAGATCAGCCTGAAGGATAATACAAGGTAAGAAACATTAGAGCTAGGAAAGAGATAACCGAAAAGAATATAGAAAAAAAGGACAAAAATAGACATAGGCCTTACAAATTCAATAAATGCTTGATTTCGGTTTGCCCCCACATTGCATTTTGTGTTTACAACTTTACCAAATGGCTTCCCAAGTTCAATCAACTCCTCCTCTGTGCATTCCCACGGCAAGTTCCTCAAATGAAGCACCTTAGAAGGGGGTTGGGTGTAACGGAACTGTGGCTGACTGGACACAGATGCCATTTAACACAACCACCTGTGCCAAGTAAGGGAAACCACCAACACGTGTATGCCTATGGACAACTGTAATGAAAACCCTCTTGAAAATCAGGTTTCTTCTTTTTTTTTTTTGAAATAAAAATGTATAGTATATATTACCAAGGCACAAAAAAAAGGGAGTATCACCCATGTACAAAAGCTTTACATCATGTTAGTGTATCAATGACATTCCCAAAATCCACATCACTAATAATGTCATGTCCTAACAAAATATAACTAAAATAATGAATAGACCTATCTTTTAACCTCGAAAATCAGGTTTCTTGCCTAATATAATCTTTCAAAAATAGTAAGCTACTGAAAAAAAAAAATCACCCATTTATTAACAAAATAAAACGACATTAATTTCACACTATGTTCCTGCCAATTATGGATTACCACAACCATGCCTACTCCACTGGATAAACCCTTCTGGAAACCAGGTTTTCTGTTTATTATCTTTTGTCGATAGTATCACTGACACAATTAAATTATCCGCCTACCATCAAATAAGACAAAAAAATCACCTATTTTTCTATCAAAAATTCACATAAACGAGTCAATTCCTCGCATCAATTTGAATCCTACACTCAAATGGAACGACAATAAACAGGGAATGTACAAGATACATGCAGCAAAACAGATCCTCTAAACTCAAAATCTAATCAAAGTAATCAGCTAATAGCAGTTAATCGACGAAAATTCAGACATCCGAAAACAAAACACTAATCAATCTCCATAGCACACCAACGCATAATTACTCTGCGAATAAGATAAAAATCGAGAGAGAAAGAAATTGAAAATAAGGAATAAGTACCTAGAGCAATTGAGGAACTTAAACCCGTAAATTGCTGATACTCTCCGAATTAGGGTTCGCACAAGAACGAATGGGGGAAAGAAGATTTACCGAAACGAAGAAAAACGGCGAGAGCTCTATCTAAAACTTGTACGGTTTGGGGGAAAACAATTTATTTTGGCGCCGGGGTAGGCGTATTACGCATCCCGCTGAGGTTAGCATCGGTTCTTAGCAGCGTATATTTTAGCACGAGAGGCGTATTTTAAGATTTGAAGAGGCCGTTACGTGCACGATACTTTGCGAATCATCCTATTAATACTGGGCCCAGTCTAGCCTATCAAGAAGTATCCAACGTGGACATAACCCGACCCACCCACTCATCTCTCAGCGGCTCGACCCGCTAAATATGAGTGCCGGCCCATTATTCGTTATTGGGTCGGGTTAGGCCTCAGTTTGGGCCCATATATTACATAAGCTCCCTCTAGAAAAATATCTATATATATTTTAAATGTATATGCGAGCATATATATATATATGTATATTATTGTGTTAAAAGGGCTGAAGATGGCTCAGCCCAATCGCACAAGCCCATGGGCAGTAAAGAAATGGGCTGTGGGCA